GGGGAGTTTTTTTGAGAGGTTTCATTTTTTTTTTTTTTTTTTTGTGGTTGTGTTTTTAAATGCCCCTACCTAATGTCTTAAGAGCCCCCTCCAGCCACCCCTCAAAATCCTTCTCCCCCTTTCCTCTCGGAAGAGATTAAAAGAAAAAAAGGGAAATTCATCCTGATTATCAGTAGTGTGTGTCAACCTTACCTACTGTACTGTATGACGTACCTACCTTCTGAGTAACTGACTTACCTATATGCTACTTACCTACCTCGGTAGTTACTCTTCACTGTTGTTGCCTTCTGAAGGTCAAGAAGTCGTTCCCGCTCCAGGAGTTCATCTCGCTCCCGCTCCCGCTCACGCTCCCGGTCCGGTGATCGTTCTTCATCAGGCAGTCCCAGGCGCTCCAGCAGCCCGCCCAAAACCCGCGGTCACTCCTGCAGCGGCTCTCCAAGTGGCAGCGCGTCCCCCTCGAACTCCAAGTCAGTGGATCCAAACAAACTTTCCATCTCTGGTATCCTTCCTCCTCCTTCTCCTCATGAGAAAGGCCCTGACTCCCGCTCCCGTTCCCGTTCGCACTCCCGTTCTCCTTCCACCGAAAGCCAGCGTTGACTCACCCCGTTGTCTCGGGAGAAGAGGTTTGTTAAAACTCAACACTGTTTCTTGAGAAAATATCAAGCGTGGATAGAAAAGTATGATTTTTTTTTTCCTAGCAACTATTCGGTGTTTTTGATATGCAAGCGAAGCCTGTTGAATTAATTTCTTATTCTTTCTTTTGATTCCCTTCACAATGACTAATCCAATGTCATGTTGCACCCTGCATCTCTGCCACCTCTAGTGAGTCTCCGTGGCATTTGGGATGCTTGAATTGATTCAAATACTTTGCCTTTTTGGGCCATCCTGTGAAGGATTCAGAGTAACTTCACACTCCTGAATGCCATGTACATGTTCTTGCTTTTGACCGCAAGCTATCATTTCTACATATTGGACAGTCTGCTCTAAGAGGTAAAAATCATTGTGCAAGCGTGCATTTTGAAGGGAATGCACGATGATGATCTAATTGGTTCGTTGAGAAACTTGCCACACCATATCCACTTTGGGCCCCGAGCTTTAGTCTCCTTAAAAATAGGTCACTTAGATAGTTGCTTCTTAGTTGATGCTTTTTTTTTTTTCTTTTTAAAGTTTTATTCTGAAAGTTGTTGGGAGTGGGGTGGTGGGGTTGTTGAGAGTGTTTAGATGTTATTTGACACTGTACCCGATGTTAATGTGTTTATGAACAATGCAGCCTTTTGTATAATTAGGGATTTGTTTTAAATAAACATAGGGGACAATTGTATGCAAGACATACTGTACCTATTAAAGCGCTTTTAGCAATGTGACACACTCTTACTTCCTCACTATGAATGTTCATTCACTTACTCTGTGTCGCAGTTTGGTGACAACGCGGACAACCTTTCACACTCACATTGTCATCACTGAGTGGGAACTGAACCCAGGAAGTAGTAGTCGTGGAAATTTATTGTAAAACAGTCAACACGGCAGTCCTAAAGTTGACGTTTCATGTCCAAAATCAGTCCTTCTGTAAGCCAGTCCAGACACAAGATTGTCATGAAGGAAAGCTGGCCCATCCATCATACTGTCCCTCCAGAGAGTGCTTTCAGTCCAGCATCGGTCATCGCAGGCTGGTACACATCTGTTGGTCAAACAGCACACATATCCAATTCTAAATTACAATCCTTAATGCAAAAGATCAATAATCTCCCAATTTTGAAATAATACATTTACGATACTTAATTTTGACCTGTTGCAATGAATGATGCAGGCGCGTAACATACAGACCTAAATCGAACTGTTTGGTTGCCATAGTTAAAACGAGCGTGAAGATTCCATTTGTATAAAACCAAATGGCCGTTCTTTACCTTTCTCTTTTCTCGTGAGCCTCTGGTGGCACCTGTAGACGACGATAAGCACCATGGCCTCTAACATCTGGAAGGATATGTACACCATTGGGAAGAGGAAGAGTGGGCCGATCACGTCCGGTGGAAAGGCCAGCTTCAGGATGGTTGAGCACAACTGAATGTTCTGGCAGCCTGTTTCCATAGCGACAGTCCTTCGCTCTCTGAGCAGTGGTACGGGAGAATACATAAGTCATGAGTATCTGAGGGTGGTGCTCAACAGAAAGTAATTGTGTGTGAATTGCCAAACAAAGGGGAACTATGATGCTGGCTAATGAATATTTGTTGAGAAGGTGAATATAAAAAGTTTACACAACCCTATCCAATGGCAGGTTTTTAAAAAATGTTGCATAAGTTCTCACCCTCCTCCAACTATGATATGGCTGCGTTCGGCACTAACCAATCACATTGCAACTCATGTTAAATGGGAGTCAGGACACACTTGTGCTTCTGATGAACCCCAAAACCGGCTCTGATGTTCTAGTAAGATTTCCCTGTTTTTCTTTTTCCTCGCAGTAGCCTAAAGCATTCCACTGGTATTTGGATTTGTTCCTAATTCCCTCCACCTTGACCAAGGGCCCAGTTCAATTCAGTAAACAGGCGTTGCCGTATGACTCACGCTTGGCTGAGTCTGAAGATGGACGAGATGATATAGCCGAAGGTGAAGCCAATGAAGGGCATGATGGCGCCGGTGGCCAAAAGGGGAGGAGACATCACGGCCAGGATGGCAGTGCGGATTGCTACGGTGGCCACGACGGCGATCGCCACGGAGGAAATGGACATGATGGTCAGACCTACCTGAGAAGCAGACACCGCAACTGCTGGGTTTTTTTTTTTTTTGCCCTTGATTGGGTCACACCCCCCAAAAAAACAAACATTTGGTGCAGATCAAGAAATATACTTTCTACTTTTTATGTACTGTGTAAAATACTACAGAGCCCCTCATAAGCCACCTTGGTGATGATCTTCGAGTATCGTGGCCTGTAGTGGTTGATGAGGATACCGATCCCGCAGGGCACGAGGATCATTGCGAGGGACACGGTAATGTCAACATAAGGAACGGCGTTCTGCAGGTCGCCGAAGCCCTGGCAGTAAAGGTAGAGCAGCAGCGGCATCATGCCCAGAGCCAGCAAGGTGGAACAGGATGTCATCACAATGCTGTGGACAGGAACATGTGACTTTAAACCTTCCAACTGGTAAAACAAAAATAACACGACTCGCCCTGACTCATGGAGCCTTGGGGAGAATGTTCGGCCAAGTCAATACTGTGTTTACTAAAGTATGCCGGGCTGTCAACTACTTGAGGTCATAAAGTAACAGTCTTGGGTTTGTGCTTGTCTGATCTGATACAGCAGGAATGTACAGAACAGCACACCATCCAGCAACACGGGGACACACCTGCTTCTTCATAAAGATGGATCCTATCGGGGTGAATGGCCGACAGGCTTTTGCCATGCTGTGATAAATACAGTATTGCAGTATCATCGGTTTTATGATGATGCAGGTCAGTCAACTCTAATGACGACAGGAAGTGAGAGTGTGTACTTGACAGCATCATGAAGGTTATTGAACTGTACCGTGAAATAGAAAAATCACCTATGCACGTGTGCACTGTGTACCTTAGGTTCATGTCGCCGTTTATAGCCAAGGCCAAGATGTTGGAGAGTGTCCCCCCTGGGCAGCACCCACAGATCAGGACCACCACAGCTGCCATGTCAGCCAGCTGGAAGCCCTGCAAGCAGCAAGAATAGTATTGCAGCACACTCAACATCAGCAACGATTTGCAGTATGTAATGAGTACTACGAGTGCTACACGAGCTTCTCTAGTGATATGAATATATTTGAAGTACAGTTTTTATTGAAAAAAGGAATACTTTTTTATGTTATAAGTCAACAACTGCAGACAGTATCTTGCGGGCAAACAACAGCTCCTTTGACGGAGTTAATTATTATCTTATCAGTGTAATAAATAGCAATAGTATAGTGCGGCATTTGTGCGCGGGTCAAATGGGACCGTCAAACCAACCTTGGCTAAGCAAAATGCTGTCAGCGGCATGACACAATACTGGGCCAAGACTGCAATCGCCACCCCTTTAGGTTTCACTATGTGACCCTGGCAGACGAATATCAACACAGTGATTAATAGTGTGCCATCACAGTCATCCACAACTGAGAGAAGGCTGCCGGAGTCACCTTGATCTTGGACACCTCCATGGTGCATCCCAGTGAGATCATGGTGATGAATAAGACTATCACCATGAGCACGTTAATCGTCTTATCCACCACGGGTGACAAAAAGGGCTTAAAAAGGACAGTGCTGCTGTTTGCCGACGTCACGTTGAAGGTGTCCATGCTGGTGTTTTGCATTGGATTGGAATTTGGCAACTGGCCCACAATGTGATCCATGCTTAAGTCCCCGAATGGCTCACAAACTAAGACGTACAGTACAAAATAAGTAAACAAACATTAGAACCAGCAATAAATATTTTGTTTATTATACCTCATGCTTCATAGGACACCAAAATGTATTGCTAAAGTGTCAACAATTATTAAATTGATTGATTTCATTTTTCAAACTTCCTTGCGACTTCATATATGAACCAGCATATTTTAATTCAGGATTGTGTGTATCCTATTTTTATGATTGTATTGTATTTGTCAATTCAATTATTGTATTGCACATTGACCCCTTTTTTTTTTTGTTAACTGCTACAAAACAAAACAAAAAATATCACGTTCACCCAACATTGGTACGATTGCACTGAACTTGCACGCATGCAAATGTAAATATAAAGGTCAAGTGAAGCTCAAATTGGAGCAAAGGAAGTTGTATTTCCAATAATACAAATGACTATTGATTAAAACCATCATACTATACTTCGAATAATCACCAGAGTACTTCTCAGGTTGCTTTTTCTGCAACAGGCAGAAAGGTCACAGTTGTTTTGATAAGCAGTTCTTTCCATCAGCGCAATAATCAGTGGCCATCGGTTCATAGTACATATTGTATGGCGCAGCGGACCTTTATCCTAATATACAATGCGTACAGTTTGCCACTTTACAAATATTTTGCAAAGCATAATCAAGACTTCATTCACTCAATAAATAAATGCAGGAATACAAATGAATGCAGGCGAAGCGACGTAAACATTTACAAAAATCGTTTCTCAATTCAATCAGCCAAACTATTTTCACTAAATTATTCTTTGAATCTGTGTACGTAATTGCAGAAGGTGTGGAAAAAAAACAAAACAAATATGCATTTTTTTTTTCCTCTCAAACCTCACTTCATTACTGACAACCACATCCTCCCTGCAGGCACACTCCTGTGCCACACTCTCGCGGAGACATCCATCTACTTTGCACTCGTAAAAAGAGAAGAAACACATTTGACAGCAAAGAAATCTCTCCAGTGTCTCTTGCCATTACGATGACTGTGAAGGTGACGATTACACACCTTCTCCAAGAGGTCAGTCTCCGTAAAGCGATGGAGGAGTCCCATGCGGACATCTCAGAAAACAACCGCGCTCTAACAGACAGACAGGAGTCTCTTACACGCTTGGGTAGTTTACCTGCGAAAGCATGTGCACCTCTTCTCTTCTCCCCAGGACTAAACTTCTTCCATTGGGACTGACTTTTATGTCTCTCACTCGCACGCGTGACAAGTGCACTTTGTGGTCGCGCACAGGTGCCATCTAGTGCACGTGTCTAGCACAGAGCGAGGCCTACAATTCTCTAGCACAGGGGTGCTCAACCTTTTTTGACCGAATATCTACTTTTCAAGTAACCACCCTCCCGCAATCGAACTGTTACCGTACACGAAACAAACTTAGAATGACAATAATAATAATTAAAAAGCAGATATCGCAACAGCTCTGATCGCAGGCTGCAATTGCAGACTGCTGACCGCAAACAACTTCTGATGATGCAGATCATGCGCCGCCGTAGGTTAAAGGTGACCTGCTTTTTAATTTAATTTAATTTTTAATGTACTTTTTTTTTTTTTTTGGTGAAACTGATAGGATGCTCAAGGTGCAGTGTGCACGAACACAAAAATATATCATCACACAAATCTTTTTTTTTCCCCCCTAGACCTCTTGTGATTTTTTTGGGAAGGAGGGGGGGCAGTTTTAATTGAGTACGATGGCAACAACGCTGTCTACAAGTCATTGGCTCTCAGCACACTACAGTAAACGGTGCCAAGAACAAACGCCGCATGCGATGGCCACGCTCGACAAACTGTTACCCTAATACTAGTGCCAAGGTTGCTGGCTTTCATGTGCTGCCTGTAAAATCGAGCAGAGCAAAGATGCAGCACTCATGATGCCGATATGCCATACTGAAGGAGAACGCTTGTGTATTACCATAACAAACTTCACTGTATTGATATATTTTTTCCTCTCAAAAAGTGCATCCAAAGTAACTTTATCTTATTGTATTTTAATTGACGCTTCTCAGTCCTTTTTCAAATAATATTGAATAAAATCACCAAAAGGTAACGCTTCTGGACAAGAAAGTATTCTTGCATGTCACTCCCATCGATTATTCGAGGGAACCAAACTGGAGACAATGCAGTCATCTCATACACTTTTATTGACAGAGCAAAGTAGCCTTAATCTGAAGGTTGATGTCACCCCCGTTTTTCATAAAACCCACATTTAAAATGGGGGCCAAGGTCAAGGACAGAAAAAAAATGGTCAAAGCATATCCTCTCAGTAAATGTTTTCTACACAGTGCATGGTAGGGGGCAAAACGGCGGCATAGTGGTTAAACAGGCCAATCCCTGTAAAGACATGGGGGAGGGGTGGTGAACTCATCAGCCTCTTGAGTGCTATAATTACAGTTCCCTGCATCACTTGCCTGTGTTTTTATGGACGTATTTGTTCACCTTTTGCAGCTCCAGGCACGACTAATCAATGCACACTCTTGAGGGGAGGCCAGGCAGGTCATGACCTTGTGGGACTTCCAACTGTCTCTGGAGACCCATGGAGGCCCAGGGGAGAGATTAGCGAGGGTGTGGCGAAGAGGTTTGTTTGTGAGCAGAGTGAATCATGTTCACCATCCAAAGGGGCGATTTAAAGGCACAAAAAAAAAGCGATTGCTTCCGATGGCGGTGGCTTCGCTGCAGCAGAAGGATGGCCCCGTTGTGTTGTGAACCTTAACAGTCAATAGGATCATGAGTGACCTTGTTTGCCTATGCTGCTGCGGGACTTAAATGTAGTAGATCAGTGTGCAGTGTGTGAGGTGAACATACAGAAATGATACGAGTACAAAATGAGTCGAAGCTTTTCTTCATTGATGGAGAGCAGGGTGTCACTCACAGCTGCTGTGGCCTGCTGGGGAAGTAAGAAGGCTTTCATTATTTATTTATTTTCTACATTGACTGAGCTGGATGTGCAAACGAATCCACAATGTAAGCTCCATATCTATAGCGCAATTTTGTCAAAAAGGTAAAACCTGAGCAAATTATTTACAATTTGTCTTGCCACCAAAACTGTGTTTATCATCCCCTAGAAACGCAGTCGTGCCTCAGTTTTTTGCAGGTTATTTCCCATCCATCCATTTACAGCTCAGGCTCATAGGAAACCGGAGTTTATTCCATCTGACTTTGGGGCTAAAGGCAGACAATGCCCGAGTTTGGTCACCAGTTAATCATAATGCAGATTTAGAGGCAGACACACACATATTCACACGTCACTTGGTGGGAATTGAAACCTTGCTGTCTGTATGCAAGTCAGGCGAACCAACCACGAACATCAGTGACTGATTTTGTTTTATTTCCAGGTCAGTCACAGTTGAAGCAAATGCAATATTTTTTCAGATCAAGTATAAGAAAATACCACTAATATCTGTCATGTAAGAATTTCAATTTTACTGTTACATAATGGGACCGAATGCAAACAAATAATAAAATGCAGTTTAGAAGAAAATGTGAAAACAAATCACATGTTGGTTCTATGTTTACAAACGTGAAAATAAAAGCAAGATGTCACAGTCTCACTGTTTTGCATTGCTAGAGTGTTGTTGGAGTCCACGTGTCTCCCCTTTGGACCTGTTTTGCCCCGTGACATTAAACTACAACAAAACACTACATTTACCATAAAGCTACCAGCCAAACGGGATGTTATGACGTATCTTGTACGCCATACGTTTTAATGGGAAATGTAGTTTAATAAGGGAACAATGAGTAAATATTGACCGATAGACAATTGGTATACTGAGACGAATATGGAACTTGTGAGTGTAACAATTACTGTGAGTTTTATTGCTGTGATTAAAAAAACAAAACCAAAACAGACTTCAGCAACTTCGTGAAATCTGTCATAGACAAAAGACCACATTTCCCAGAACACACTTCGATTTTGCGCATACGTAATCAGGAGCGGTAGCATGGCGTGTAGAGTGTAGTCACGTGGAGATGGTCCACCTCGATTATGTCCAAACAGAACGTGAGTGAGTGAGTGAGTAGCTACTACTAGCAGTCTGTCTGTAGGAGCGCCGCTGGGCTGCTTCACCGATTCATGTTGTTTTTTTAGCCACGCGCCCCTTTAAACTTGACAATTTTATCGAAGAATGAGTGATAACGATGATATCGAAGTCGATAGTGACGTGAGTATGGCGACGTTCCTACACCTATTGGTTGTATTTCGCTTTTGTGGCGTTTTTTTTTTTCGAGCCGAAGTAGCTGCTCTGTTAGCGTTAGCTACCCGATAAGCTGAGTCGCCGTGTTTCTCTGATAAGTACATATACTTGGCATTAAAAAAATAAAACTATACTAAGTTTCTATGCTCAGACTCATTGTAATTCCTATATTATTTATTACACTCAAGCAGCGTCGGTTAAACGGTTTCGCTTCTAAATCATTCTGGCTACAATTGTACTTTTTGTTCTGTTTTTTTTTTTTCAGGAAGACTCACCGAGATATCACAATGTGGTGCGTAATGCCGTGGGGGAAACAATTTCCCCATGAATTATTATCACTACACTGCACATTGTTGTATTTTTTTTAAATAACTGGACATTTAATATTTAGTATTCAGGCGTTGATGGAGTATGGGTGGACTTCAGAATCAAATGTGAAAGCAATGGCTCATGTGATCGAGCGAGATATGCCATATATGTAGCGTTTGGGGACAATTATTTGCATGGTTCTACGCTATGCATTACAGGCAGGGTATCCTCTATTTTGCGTGAACACGGTAACACGACGGCTATATTTAGACCAGAAGCTTTAGCAAGCTGCACAGGCTTTTGTCATCGTTTCTTTGATGTTATTTTCTCCAATAAATACGCGGAGTGCAGATCATGGTGCTTTTCCTTAGCACGGTCGGGGACTCCGCTTTTGCACATCTAGGTCAGCTCAACGGAGGGATCATGTTTGACATTCTGCTGCATCCATGGCGGAGTGTGACGATTGAAGAGTTGCATGCATGTGTGCATCTAAGGAGGGGAAAGCCTTCATGTCAGGAAAGGCTGCAACGGGATGTTTTCCCGTGTTGCAACCTGTGATTACAGCCAGTCGACATCCCACCGAGGGGCTGGCAGGATCAAATGAATGACGTTATAGCTAACTGCACAACACAAGGGTGAGGGGGGAAACAAGACACACACACACACCCACACGCGCGCACACGCATCATCGTCCTAATGCACTCTAAGCTTCGCGATTTTGCCAGTTTCGGATTATAGCTAACTGCACAACACAAGGGTGAGGGGGGAACAAGACACACACCCACACGCGCGCACACGCACCATCGTCCGAATGCACTCTAAGCTTCGCGATTTTGCCAGTTTCGTACCTCTCTCTTTCTCTCCCCCATTTAGAGAGAGAGAGAGAGAGGTGGAACGGTGGACCACTGGTTAGCATGTTCGCCCCACAGGGCAGAGGTGCAAGGTTCGATTCCCGCGCCAGCCCTCTTGTGGAATTTGCATATTCTCCCCACGCTTGTGTGGGTTTTCTCCAGTGATTCTGGCTTTCTTCCACACTCCGGCGTCAAAGTCATTTTCAGCATTGGTCACTGGGGCTGCAAAACATAGCGATAATATCATCGCGATAGTGGACAGCGAAAAAGTTTGTTCCCAGCACCCCTCTGTTTTTATGACAGACTGATAATGGCGGTGCTGTAATCGGACACCTGTTTGTCATGGTGACGAATGTGCCAAGGCACAACACTGTAGCAGTGACTTGAATAGTTTAGTGGCATGAGCACATATAATGGTTTCCCCATCATAATTATTAGGACATTTAGGGCATCCATCTCGTATTTAATTGAAGCGCTTTTATGCTTTCGATTAACCTTACCCACCCATCCGTTCACATTTCATTTAAATTGTGAAGTGCAAACTACCACCAAAGCCGTTTAATTTCTGCTTGGCGCCTTGGCGCTCGTCAGAGAATCATTCAGCAGTGGCCACCTTTGATAAGTTGAGTTTGAGGTTATTGATAATAGATAAATGGATGGAGGCGTGCTAACCTTTTGCCGTTTGTAGTCAAGTCTTCTGTTGTTAACGCAGAGTGGCACTAGACAGCGGGCGGGTTTGTGTGCTGCTGTCCTCTCCCCACGCCGCTGTGCTGCCAGGCTGAAGGCCTTGTGACTCTCTCATTGCAGGCAGACAAACGGGCACACCACAATGCGCTGGAGCGCAAGCGTAGGGACCACATCAAAGACAGCTTTCACAGCCTCCGGGACTCTGTGCCTGCCTTGCAGGGAGAAAAGGTTGGTAACAGTACTGGTGCGCACCAAAACAGCGTAAGCGACATCTATTTTTTTCTTCATTATGTTTGTTCAGTGTCATAGAAATTACGGGAGGTGTGCGTGAGTGGAGAGAGCAGATGGTGGAAGCTGCATGTTTGACTGCGTCAGGAAGTTATTACGAGGAAATGTCGCTACTCTTTTCCTGTTTTGACATCCGCAACATGGAGAACGTTACTCGAGCACCCCTCCCCTAGAAACCAGCTGGGTGGGGGGATGGCTCGGCTCGGGGCGGGGTAGTGGAGTGGGAGTCGCGTTTGCTGCGGAATATTGTGCTGGGGATATGGGGGAAAAACCAGCCCATCCCTGTCAGGATATTATTTTGCGATGAACTAAAACGGTTTAAATCAAAAGGAAACATAGACTGAATATAGTCTAAACGTGGCACTTTTGAGGCATCCATTTAGAAAGGAAAATGAATGCAGTGCCGCTCAGTGACACTTAACCGCCCTGGCCAAGCGAATATACTCTTGACTATGTATACAAGTGTGCTCATTTTTACTTTGTAGTTATTGCACAGGAAGCCTTTGTTCAGGTGTTCTGGGAATGTAACAACAGTAATATTGGGGATGGGTCACATGAGAAGAAACTTGAGTTGAACTCCAGCCTTAAACGGGTGTTAAGAAATAGGCCACTGTGAGAGTTCCTGGCGCATGTCATCTTAGAATAAGAGTTAAAGATGTTCATAACAGATCCGTTGTCTTGTCCTCGTGTGCTCATTAAAGCGGAGTCAAATCAAAATTTTGCGAACGTCACATGACCGAACCCAGAAAAACAGATGAGCTGTGATGGTTGTGACCCGCCCCCTGAGGCACATCGCCACACACAGCAAGTGGCACAACAAAGCAAAACGGCAACCCACTGAGGTGGAGAAAAACCGGCGGATTTTTTCTGCCAAAATTCAGATTTTCCACAAACGCAATATTAACATCTTATTCGCAATGTTTTGACTTGACTTCCCCCTATAAACAATGCTATCATGTATTCGTGTTTTGTATGTTTTGAGAAATGTGCTTTTTCTCTGCACACACGTCACTTCTCTTTTGCATGTGTCACTAACAGCAGTCTACCAAACAGGCGTCTCGAGCTCAAATCCTAGATAAAGCCACAGAGTACATCCAGTACATGAGACGAAAAAATCACACGCACCAGCAAGACATCGACGACTTGAAGAGGCAGAACGCGCTGCTGGAGCAGCAAGGTAATGCTCCGTCTTTGTGTCCTCTCCGTCGTCACCTCTCCCGGGAGTCAACAGGATGTAGACTAGCGTAGGGCACTGATTGCCAACGGCAGGTTCTCTTCATACCCCGGAGAAGTCACGACAGTGAGGCGCTTCCCTTTGCTCAAGGGCAGTGAAGCAAATTGATATCCCTCTAGCAACAGTTGCGAACCACTTTCCTCAATGAATCACCTGAATGTGACAAAATGAAGACTAAAGGCATGAGTTGAAAATGTTCCCGTTTGGTATTTCCTCCGTGTTGTGCAGTGCGTGCTCTGGAGAAGGTGAAGGGCTCGGCGCAGCTCCAGGCCAACTACTCCTCGTCCGACAGCAGCCTCTACACTAACCCGAAAGGCAGCACCGTGTCTGCGTTTGATGGCGGCTCCGACTCCAGCTCCGAGTCTGAACCCGAGGAGCCCCCCAACCGCAAGAAGCTGCGCGTGGAGGCCAGCTCGAAAGCGCCCGGCGCTCCGAAAAGCAGGTGAAAAGGCCGGAGTCGCGGCCTCACGGGAAAGGCGAGAGGAAGCCTTTAAACGCGCTCGAGGCTCTTTGACCTTTCCACCCGATGCCCACCGCATACCCACTGTCCTTGCGCCCAACCCTGCCCTCCCCCTTCTGGGTGGGCTCCCACTGGAGACTCATGACCCCTCCTCAAAACTCCTCACAACCGCCACCACAATCGTCTCCAAGAACAAGGAGGGTGGAGGCCAGCGGGATGGGAGCTCTTCAACGTCCCCACCCCCCAATTAATATTTTATTCTTGCAGCAATCCAACCCCCCCCCCCCCAAAAAAAGAGGCAGCTTGCTTCTCCACTGTATTTTGTTCACTTTGAACCTAGACACACACCAAAACAATTTATCTTTTTGAACTACCACCAACACGTATTGTACATTTGCTTTTTCCACTTAAGAATGTGAAGACCCTCCAAGGAGAAATGTTTAGTGACACCCACCTCAGGCCCACCGGATCTCAGATGTTTTCTGCTGCAACACATTTGTTAATGAGAAGGAAACAAAAAAAAACGTTCCTATTGTTGAAATTGATGTTTTGAAATAATTTGAATATTCCTAAACTTGTATTGTATTTTGTCCTTTAGCTTGAAGTAGTGAATGACTTTAGGTGGCTGAATACATTAGGCAGCTTGTTTGATAGACATACAAAAAAAAAAAAGACTAGTGATAATTGGATGTTTTCAAGCTCAAATGTATGTTACGCATTTTGTAGTCATCTCACGGATCATGGAAGATATCACTCAACCGAAATGTTCCAAAGTAGCTCCTGTCGTTTGCAGTCCGAGGAAGCCAATGAAGCCCCACTCCCTTGTTGATGTGTCGTGCTTTACAAAGTTCTAAAATCCGTGTTGCTGAAGCCTTCCCCAAGAAAACTTAAAAACAAAAAAAAGGCATTTTTGAGTGTCTGGGAAGAATGTGTCTGTACATCATTTCCATTTTCTTTCCATTCAGGAGAATATGATTAGTGTACCGGGTCTTTGTTTGATTCCATTCCATGGAAATTACAAGTATGTTGTACATACTGCCAACAATTGTCTTGCAAGTTGAGGCCTACCTTTAATACGAGACTTTAAAATAAACTATTTTATCCTTTAACGCTCTTTGGATTATTTAGTTGTGGGGAGATGTTCAGGGAATCGGAGAGAGTTTGGTGTAATACAAAGATTTATTATGAACCTTGCGAACATAATGAAACATTTTCATTTCAGGATGGTGACTAAAGGTATCGAGCAAAAAAAAAACAAACATTTTTTTGCTGCTTCCAGTCTTGGCTTTCTTCACCACCGAGGAACTATAAACTAGGACTGATGGTCAGCCGAGGAGTTTTCCACCGGGACGGGCAGCCGATGAAAGTACTGCAAGGCCTGAGCCACCTTCTCTGGGCAGATGTTGTAAACGGGATGAGTTGGAGCCTAGAAAAGGGAACAAAAAATGCACATGTTTTTCTACAGCACCGCAGATAAAACCGTCAGTCGGGGTGCTTTCGGAAATTGCAGGAAGGCATCAACAGGTACCCTGTTGTAACACCGCCACAAAGACATTTGCCACACAGTTGAATCATCACACTCGTGTGTCTCGTGGATGTTTTCAGTGTTGCCAGCCGAAGGTGCCAGTGATGAAACGGGAAATGAAAAAATGTCCCAACTGGTGGTATTCAAAATTTTCAGTGAAACCACATGTAAAGACGCTGGGAAAAAATGCATCCAAGTCAATGTTGCTGCCAATTATTACATGGAGTTTATATGTGATAAACATACAAGTAATTTTATAGATTGATCAAGTGGAAACAGCAGATTGTAGTCAGATGGCATTTTCTGTATGAATGGACTAAAAAAAAAAAAAACACTTGCAAATGTGTTTTATGGAAATGACTTGTTTTTCCCACACACAAGTACTCATGTTAAGGGTTATTGTGGCTGAATACAGAGTGGGTGCGATTTGCATGTTTTGTCTGTGTGCCAATATTCAGTTGTCAGTTGCTATCCATTCCCCACCCTCTCGGACCCTACGCCGCAGCCTCACCAATCTGTTCTGCTCCTTGCCGAGGACAGTTTCGTGATGGCTGTCCGTGTTCCCAAAATGCTGTGCTATGGAAAGACCGCTCAGGCAGTAGCACGTGTGGTAAAAGTCTCTGGATCTGAACGGTGACAAGAACGACGTGTCAAAGCCTTTGCTCGTGATTATCTTGTGCTCATGTGATGTGTTTTTTTATGTCATACTGACTTGCCAGGCTTATCTAGTAGCCCCCCGGTTGGGTTCTGGCAGCAGAGGAGGATGTACTCCTGCAAGGCTTCCTGCTCGAACATCCACCTGTGTTGACTCAGCTCCGACTCCCCTGCGCAAAACCAGTGAGTCAAACTCGGTCCCGCAACGAGCAGATGAGCAGTGCTGTTAACCTTCTTTGAAGAAGGCCCGATGGAGGAGTGGCAAAAGTCCGGCCTGCCAGTAGGAGTAGCAGCCATCAACCAGTTTGTTGCAGCGGCCCTGGAATCCCCCTTCGAAACGCATCTGTCTGTTGACAACCCACCTCTGCAGACCACACCGGCACACGATGAGAGAAAGAGGACCAAAGTATTTTCAGGATTTTTGCTCCCCTGCTCAAGATTCAGAATGGCCATCGAGCTCAGACTAACGAGGAACGTCTCCCCACCAGGCTTCCTGCAATATCTTGGTGTTAAGTTTCTCACCAGTAAGGCTTTGAGATCCAGCATGTGTTCTTTTCCCAGGATGACCAGAGCGGCGGTGCCACAGAAGGTATATCCGCCGTGAGCCTCCAGACCCGGCACCCCGCTGAGACCGCCCTCCCAGTTCTGACAACTGTGCAAAACTGCCAATGAGCCTGGTCGGAAATGAATACAAGGAAAGGGCGGCTCACTTACCTCAGGACCCAGTTAGTGGTGTCTTCGAAGAGTTTGGGTGTGATGATGTTGGTTAGCGATGCTACGGAGGCTGCACAATACACACTCCTGTGAAGGCACAAGCACACGGTACGTTGTATTCAGTGAAGTGCCTCATATTTGCAAAATTTTTCAGGGCATAACCGCTGGTAATGTTGATTTTTGACAGGCCAAAACAATGAAGTATAAGTTTAGCGCCACCTTGTGGCAGTGTGTGGTCGGTTTAATTTATTGAAGGTTATTGTCTGCCTTTGAGTCGGCCTGTTTTGTTTGCAGGAGCTACTAATAGCCCCATGTAGGCATCAATTACTTTTGCTATTTGCAGCAAGGCTCTGTACGTATTCACGGTCGACTCTTTAAAATTTGAGAACAGGTTGAAGTCTCACCTGACGTCCACCTCCCCTCCGACGTGCATCACAAAAGAGCCATCTGGCTGCTTGACTGACCAGAGGAAATCTAACAACTTCTCCCTGGAAGAGAGGAGAAACATCACGCCAGATTATGGTAAAATTTTTCCATGTGTTCAAAAAGGATAACGATCGCCTACCTATCAATGACGTTGTAAGCTTCCTCTGTGCCGATGATGCAGAGGGCGTTGACGGCGGCGTAGGTGGGTGCTAAGTGAGCGTGCTGTGAGGGTCCGCCGGCGAAACCCCCTGTTGGACTCTGACATCGAGCCAGGAACTGACACACACTGTAGTGGAAGTAAGTATTATTATTATTTTTTCCCCCCCCAGAAGTGGAAACTTGAGGCTCATCCTTATAATGCTGCAATGTACATCCAACAACACTGCAGCTTTGCTTAGCTTTGGATGTGACATGACAAGGTTTTTGCGTAGTCTGGCTATTGCTTGCCAGATGAGATAATCTGTTAGGGCGGCTCACAAAAATTCGACCTGGTTTTGCAAATTCAAACACGGGGTCGGTAGGTACACAATTGGTCAGTCTTACGGACCCCTCTGATCATGTAAGTAGACACAAAACATCAACAAATCCGTAGTAGCAAACAATTATTTTAATGGATGGGTAAAATTAATTAAGCCCCGATGCAGAAAGTTTCCCCTTACATACGCCCAAAATGGCAAACTTCACGCGGTTCTGAACATGTTACAGCCCGCTCCCATGGCGAGCAATCACACAACCCGCAAAGACGCTGCCGGCCAACTAATCTGGAAGGAAAACTGAGCTTTACCATCCTCTCAGGCTCTGACCTGAACACAAGCAGAGAGGGAGGAAAAAAAAACAAGGGGGTGCTTGGCAGTTGGTTACTTTTCACTGCCAGCAAGCTGAAGACTTCCAAGTCACTAAACAGTACCCGTTTTTGCACCATATAAATTGTGACTTCAAGTTTTCATCCAAATATTTGTGCCTGACAAAACCGTACCAGGGGCGGCCCGGTGGTCCAGTATTTAGCGCGTCGACCGCACAGTGCAGGGGTCGTGGGTTCGATCCCGGCTCCGGCCTCCCTGTGTGGAGTTTGCATGTTCTCCCGGGGCCTGCGTGGGTTTTCTCCGGGTTCTCCGGCTTTTCCTCTCACATTCCAAAAACATGCAGGGCAGGCTGATTGAACACACTAAATTGTCCCTAGGTGTGAGTGTTAGCGTGGATGTTTGTTCGTCTCTGTGTGCCCTGCGATTGGCTAGCAACCGGTTCAGGGTGTCCCCCAAAATACAGCTGGGATAAGCTCCAGCACCCCCCGTGACCCTTGTGAGGATAAAGCAGTTCAGAAAATGGATGGATGGATGGATGGATGGAAAACCATACCAAGTGTGAAATTCAACCACATTTTTTTTTAACGTTTTGTCTTTTCACCCTACTGTTATGTAACAAATGTCTTAAATTGCCCCCACACCAGATTTCTCCGCCCATGACTTGATCACCAAGGCTTAGCGAAGATCCAGTGCCACTTTCAAGAGAAGTATCGAGTACAGCCACTGCACAATGCTGTCTGAAACACTATTAGGCAGAGGCACCATCATGCACACCCGCACCCCACTGCTATCATGTCAAGCCAAAGGTAAGCAGAGCTGCATTGACATTTGGATAAACAGCCTTCTGATAATCGACACACCGTTGATTGTGGGTGAAGTTGTTGAGACGGTCGAGGTATTCGGTGATGTGTCCATGTGTCACATACGCATAGTGAAGTGTATGAACCGCTGCCTGCATGAGTGAAAATGCACTCACACAAAATGACAGAGAGTGTCAATTGTATAATTCTCCACCCTTGGGGCTTTTTGACAAATCATGTCACGGGCATGTTATAAAAAAAATTTTATTGATGGATTAGTCATTCCGTCAAATGGTCCCCCTTCTCCCAGCATCATTCGTGTAGCAGTGAAAATGTACACCACTTACACTGTTGCAAAAAAAAATAAATTAGAAATGTTACATACAGCAGTAATTATTAGAAGTAGGGAAGAAGAGACTCCTCAGCACAGTAGTGTGGCTATATTAAGAGTGCTGCTGGTGGAGTGTTTGTTGAACAACAGCATGAACATGAGAGCGCGTGCGTGACTCACTCTGAGGCCACAGCGGCAGGAACAGGCTCATCGAGTAACTCCAGACTGTGAAGAATCCAGAAGCAAAGCCAAGGTCTGCTTGCGTCCAGACACTCCACACACACCCCCCCCCAGATAGACATCAGTTATACATTAATTACTCAATGGATGAGAAATTTCAGTATTCACCAACAATCCACCAAAACATGTACCTCGTAAGAGTCTGACAGATGCCGCAAGCCCTTCTTGAGATACTGGTAGTGTTGTTCCCGCAACAAGGTTGGCCTGTGGAGCATGCCGGTACAGATTCAAAGCTGTTTCCAAAACCCATGCCGTGCAATTTGGCCCTTTCGGGTTCACCGTACATTCCATTGGGTCAGAAATGAGACAAAACAAAATGAGCAAAGGCTGTTATTTAAATGTTATTTATTGATTATTGTGTGTGTGTGTGTGTGTGTGTGTGTGTGTGTGTGTATATATATATACATATACACAGTGATTAATTGAACCCACAAAATGTCCACAAGGTGCATGTATTATTGTTGTTTACCTGGGGTCACCATCCTCATATTACACACTAACATATGTTAAATTTGTGTGGCTGTAGAAGGTGGGGGCGTGTCTGTTGAGTGACATGAGAGTCAGGGAACTGGAATGCAGCATTGACTTGTGAGCTCAGGTAACTGGCTGAACTGTTAACTACAAATAAATTTTGAATATCATTAATTTCATAGCGTCATATTTATTATAGCCTACCTAAAAAGTCCTACGACTGGATGACCTGCTGAAACAAGGCAAAGAAAAGACGTTCTTTTCTGTCTGCCGTGGCAGTTTGATGCAGTTGTCATAGAAATGATGAGTCAGCCGACTGAGAAGCGACCATTAATAGCAGGAGAACATGTGGGCTGATTGAAACGCCATTTAAAAAAAAATAATAAAAATCACAGATGGTGACAGCGCCCCTACTAATGCGTCATAATGGAACCAGTAAAGGCATAAGCCTCTGAATTAGTCATTACGCCATTAAGTGCAAATAGGGATGGGAAACAACACTATTATAATAAAAACAGCTTGCAGCGATTAAAAAAAAAACACAACAAAACGTAACATTGAATTCAATTATTTATATTTGTGACATCAGCTAAACAGACAAATTAGGTGAGCAATATTATGCAGACAATCTGTAATCAATCTACAATAATTAAAATGTGCTTTACTGTCTCGTATAATAAAAACAGTTACTATGTTACTAATTGGACTTCAGACCTGGAAAAATTATTCTCTTGGTGCATGTGTCACATCCTCCCCTGAGGGAGACTTATCGGTTGTCATGGCAACACAGTAAGAGACGCTTCCGGGCTACCAAGATAGTTTTTTTTTTTTTTTTGTCAATATATTCTTCATGCTTCACTTTTTGCTGCCTAAAGTGTCTCCAAAGTTACCATTTATAAATGCATATTACAAATTGAAAATATCGGCTGACCTACCAAAATTACTGCTATGCAATTGAATGTTATGTTCTTGAAATCTTGCTAGTATTAAATATGATGGCTTTTCATGACGAAATTTCTGCAGGTTCCGAGACAAAAGGAATGCGGTTTATTTTTCACCCATACATTTCTCATAACATATTGAGCGCTCAAATATCTCAGATTGCAATGACTCAAGTTAACCGGTGGGTGGCGGCAATACGCCATACCATGCCGAGGCTCACTTTACGAATAAGTGACCCTGTTTCATTTTCAAAAATATGACAGGAAACTTATCGCGGCAAGGTTTTGGGAAGGATGTGTTCTTCCCGTTTTAAATTGAACATTTTAGGATCGACGTGTGATGAAACACAGCAGGTACTTACTGTGGTATGTTGTGGATTTGCTTGTAAACGTTGATGACTTCTTCAATGCTACGTTCCACCTTTTTCTGGTGCAAGAAGAAACCGAAAATTCACACTTCACCACGTACTATAATCGATCTAAATAACACTTAAAATACGATAGCATTACTTTTAAACGCAGCGCATATATTCACAGATAACACAAATAAAAATGACGGCCGTCATGAGGCTGATTTAGCCATCTCCATTATCCCGCAGGGCTATTTGAGCCGCTCTTTACCTGCTCCCGTGAGGTAACGGTTCCCAACCCGTCGTCCGCGAACATTTCAGCGGAATGACACTCCCGAAAACACCGCAAAGGAGTCTGTAACCCGTCCATCCTGATAAACAAAAACTCGAGACGGTGTCGTTGGCCTTTATTTTGACTAGTTTCCACTCACTTTCACTCTGGTAGCTCACTTCCTGTTGAGGTTGCAGTGAACGGAAATGATGATATTTGCGATTACGGGGTCGCCAATGTGACAAAAATACCCGCCTGTTTATCCCAGACTTACTCGTATACACGCGCTAATGAATGCATGGCATCATTGGAATAATGTTATGCTATTTTTGTGGTGGACTCCTGCACCCTCGCACGACCCTCAACAAGAGAAGCGGTGTTGAAAATGGATGGATTTTTTTTTTTTTTTGTGGTTTATGAGCTGTGTTACGGCGCGGGCGTCTGAGAAACACAACAATTAAACGTTTTTAACTCGGTTGCAGGTAAAGTAGCATATTGATGCAAGAACCAGAAAACGAATGGTTGGCCTTTCGAAGTAAAGGTTTAGACAGCAAAGCTGTATGACAAAGCAAGGCCCAATTCTTGAAAAAAAAGTAACTTTTATGTTTAATACCATCCAGGTCATAGTTTATTATTTATTTTTCAACCGAGACCCGTGTTCCATAAGCAAATCTATTAGGAATAATCAAAGGCAGTAACCGGAAGTAAGCTTTCTTTTTTTTTAACTTGACAGTGATTCACCGCACCCACTGGAGGCAGGAGGCTGCCTCAGCGTGCTGTTGGAGGGTGAAGCTGGAGCATCCTTGTTTTGTCTTGCATCCCACAACAAACACATTCTGACGTTGCCACTTGAAGCAGGCATGGCTCGTCAGTGGGGAGGGACCCATTCGTCGTTGAGTTAGCCGACTGGCAGCTTTTATTTACCTCAATCCTTTCTTTTAATTCAACACCATGGCTAAGCAGTACGATGTGCTCTTCCGACTCCTGCTTCTTGGAGACTCTGGGGTTGGAAAAACATGTTTGCTATGCAGATTCACTGACAATGAATTTCACCCGTCTCACATTTCAACTATAGGTAAGTCCCACTATTCACTGTATTTTAAATATGATGCAATAGAGGTCTCAATCTAGTGGGGAAATGTCCCAACCAGATCAAACTGGCAGCTTATTATTATTGTTCTTTTCTATGTAACACAGAGCTATGATTACACTGCAAATGAATGTGTTTTCCCATTCTAGTTGTTGTTGTGTTCACCAATATTGAACTGCACGACTGGTCCATGGATGGCCACAGCTACAGCCTGGTTCTGGACCATTTTAAGAGAGGGGGCCTGGCTGGGGCCAGGGTTTTGTCAGGTTGGCACATTCAACCTGAATGGAGCTAACATTAGTTTACCTTATCACAATATAAACCCAAGCAAGCCTGCAACAGTAGCCTATTTTGCTCAATTTTTTAAATTTTATGTTTTCAATACACTGTCTTTTTGTAATGTGGGTTTTTCATCTCCATTGCTTTTGGTGTATAGTCTCAAATGAAGAGAGGGGGGAAAAAAAGGATCTTAGATCCTATTTCTTGAATGACGTTCTGTGCAGTGCCAGAAGCGGGTTGAGAGGCCCACAGAGGGAAAGCCGAAGGACTTGGGAGACAATGGTTTACAGAGAGGTCAAAGAGTTGGAAAAAGAGACAGCTGAAGATCCAGAGAGTGAGCAGACTGAAAGTGAGATACAAGCAAAGTGTGAGAAAGTCAGACAAAATAATACAGGTAGTGTAGAATGTGCAACTGTGCACCCACAAGTATTGGTCCATCAGGGTTGAAAAACAAATATATTAACTGTATGTGTATTTTGATCACAGTAAAGTTAAAATTAAATGGCCAAATGTAATGTTGTTTTGTCCAGTTTGTGCTCAAGTTTTGTGGCAATTCATCATTCGACCCACCCAATGAAACTTACAGTGTGCCCACTGGCCGCAGTCGCCAAAGCATACTGTGCATTATTTTTTCATCAATTACATTTATAATGTTTTAAAAAATCTAAATGGATGAATGCAAGTGAGTTCATCGTTTTAAATGTGGATTAGTGTAAAAAGTGTTTTAAAATATATTGATATGGCCTTTCTCTTCTCGTGGGGCGGGTGGACGCATCTGCCCACCCATCCATTCATCTCCCCATCCACAGCCACGTCCTCCAACACCTGGAGAAATGTCACTACCTCATCTCTGCTGAATGCTGCAGCACGCTCAGTTCATTTGTCAAGTCACTTTGGGATTTGTTCCCCTTCGTTTACTCAAAAGGCCTTCCCTCTGCTGATTCTCAAACTCCGCTATGTTCCATTAAATGCAGTCTGCCGTATTGTTCTCCTCCCCATTGTTCCAATGGCGTGTGAAAGATGCAGAATTTTTTTTTTTTAAGCCTCAGCAGGAGCATGGCTCTGAAAGAGGATGAGCCTTCATTACAGGCTTTGTTTTAAGGAATGTCACATTTTGGGAGTTATAAATTCAAGAATATTCCCGGGAGAGCAAAGGTTCCGATGCAGCATGTTATAGTGGTGCTCTCTGCACGGATGAGCAGATCTCCGTATTGTGCTCACGATGCTGTAGTGTCCGTGAACTGTTGCTCCGTCACTCAACTGGAGCATATTCAAGGTTCACCGTTGACTTCTCCCTGCGGTACATTTATTTACACAAGTGCAACTAACTATGAACTTGGAAATGGCATGCAAATGAAAATCGATTGAACCCAGGACCCTTTTTCCCCGCAGTGGGACGCTGGGTCACTTCGGTGTGAGTCCGTTTAACCAAGATAAGCGGTTAATTGACTTCTCGGGGAATACTGTGGTCTGTAGAAGTGCTGTGGTTTTACTTTTTATTGACTTCGGTGGCATGAGTTGGTGGAGGCGCTCATGCGGGAAAAGAAAAGCAAGAAAGAGTTGAGAAGGGTTTACATTTAATTACTTTGTAAACTACTTTGTAAGTTTACAAAGTAGGAAACTTTCTGTGGGGTGCTCTGCTAAAGTTTACTAAGGAAAAAGAAAAAAAAAACATGCATGCACCAAACAAACCACATGTACCATCGAATTTTTTTTCATTCTGGCACAGTGAACATTTTTAATCGTATTTATTTCTATTTTGCCAAAACTATCACAATCATAACCTCAACCGATTTGTGCGTGTTGAAATCGTGGATTCCGGTTCTTGTCCAATGTCAGCTGGGATAAGCTCCAGCATGCACTTCTGTGACATATCGATCGATACACGAGTGTTAATGTCCGACGTAACTTTGTTTCTTCACACGTCACCAATTGTCTCCTGCAGGGATCGACTTCAAAATGAAGACGCTGCTCATAGACGGAATCAAAGTGCGAATCCAGATTTGGTAAGCATTCACGTGTTATCGCACCACCGTCTTTGAAAATGTCCTTATGGCCTATTGTACATAGTACGGGATTCTTATTTCACTGTGCAGTGAAAAGGAGCAGGGGCGGAGCTACGTGATGGCCAATGGTGGCCATGGCCACCCCGCTTCAAGATGTGCATGCTTTTCCTCCTTTTCACTTTAAACGTAATGGTAATATTTAATGTCCGGATGCGTGTGTTTGTCTTCGCAGGGACACTGCAGGCCAGGAACGCTACCAGACCATCACTAAGCAGTACTACCGGCGAGCGCAGGTAGTAATTGTGCGGGTGTCAGTGCCTACATGGAGCGAAAAGAATTTCTCCAGTCTTGATGATGTCTTGATTTGTATCCGTTGTCATCGTTTCATCATAGCGTTTTTCATTCTTTTAATGGCATTCAGAAAGCTCCAGTTCCAGAGTGGTTGTTAGTCTGCCTTGGTCTCGCTGAGCTACTTGGAGTGTTGATGTTCATCTTGCTAACAAGAATTGTCACGATGGAATTGCACCCGCAGACTGCACAGAACGCCCAATCGACTCGAATTGAATTTTCTATTTACTGGAAAGCTGATAATGAAATTGGAAGATCGTGTTCCTTTTCATGCCTCCTGCGGCCAGTGATACGCAATTTATAATGCTGCGCACTCCCTGGTGTCTTGGTAATTAAAATCTCTCCGATCTGTCCTCAGGGAATTTTCTTGGTCTACGACATCACGAGCGAGCGCTCTTTTCAGCACATCATGAAGTGGGCAAGCGATGTGGACGAGGTGAGTGGCAGCCGGCACATTCCATTTGACGGTATCGTTTTTAATGAAGCCGGCGATAGTGTCGTAGTTCATTTCTGCCTCGATTGCTTGGCAGCCTGTCCACGATCTACAGTCGCGATCTTTTGCCTCTCTCTTGAATTGTGCTCTTCATTTCTCATCCGCACTATTTACTAGTACGCGCCAGAAAAGGTACAAAAGATCCTGGTCGGGAACAAGTCAGATGAGGTGGACAAGAGGCAGGTGGCCACAGAGCAAGGTGTCAAGGTGCGTGTGTCTTGCCTTGCTGTTTGACTTGCCATTCACAAGACAAATTCAGTTTGGTTGATTCAGAATTTCCTCCCGAAAGCTGAACCTCAGTCACTTTTTGCGAGCGGCGCATGTTTCCCATCAAATGTGCATCCAAAACTTTACATTTTCTTTTTGGGTTTCCATCCTCCAGCTGGCCCAAGCTTATGGAATGGATTTTTTTGAGACTAGTGCCTTCACCAACCGTAACATAACAGAGGTGAGAACGTTTCCAACCACCAAAACCGCATTGCACTATGACTGCTGCTCATTTCCTGCATTGCTACGATCACCGTTGGTATTTTTTAAGGTCCGTGGTGTGTAACGTTGGTTACAAACTTGAGCAAAAATGACTCTCTCTCTCCTCATTTTTTGTGTTCCATCAAGACTTTTACACGGCTGGCCGAGCAGGTGCTGGCGGCCAACAAGAAGGACCTGGATCTTCTTCGGATGTCTCTGAACGATGAGCTGAACCTGGCTGCTCTGGAGGAAGAAGAGGGATTGTGTGACGGCGGGTCCACCGACCAGGGGAAAGGCTGCTGGTGTTAAAAGACCGAACTGAAGTGTGAGGGGACGCCGCTGGAAATTGTAACGTGAAAAGCCAGCTGGTTGAGCATTTAGTGGACACCCTTGAGACCCAACTTCAGGTCCGTGTCGTAGTGCGCTCTTTGTCCTCACTCGTAAAATCAGCTCGGGTGCACAAGTTGAATGTGTTATTTGTCACATTTTAGTTTTCCACTACTAGTGCCACGTTTGGCCTAGAAGTATGCAAGCATTGCTCAAAGGACGTTTCAATATGTATTCGATATCCTGCGTATCAAGTTAGGTTCCATGTTCTTGTACACTCGGTGGTCACTGGCACCTGTCTGGCCTATTCGTAGGTTAACTACATGTTATTAGTGAGGCAAAACTGTGCACTATTTTTGCACTTTGCAACGGACTAAGCGCAGAGTTCATGTTCAAACTGGGCCTGTTTTGACAGCGGCTTGAAATAACATGAAATATACTTTTTAAATGAAACTCCGTCTCATTTTAAATGAACACTTGGGCTTTGTACACTACTGTATTTTGATTGTAGTCGTGATGTTGGAACTTAAAGAGAGCTACAGCATTTTTTTACATTTTATTTTTATTTTTTTTTAGGTGGTCTCACTGTTCTAGATCTTTAGATGTCAAATATTGCACAGATTTGCCTCCCGAGTAACGTGTAGTTGTGCTTCCAGTATGTCAAAGTTGTCCTATTGGTGAGGAAAGAGACCTGAAGTTTGGGTATCCAAGATATGGGATACATGCTCAAACGGTCCATTTTTCCATTTTATGGAGTGATCTGTGATCTCTAACGCTGATGGTTTCATGACTCTCCTTTGAAATTGGGCAGCACAGAGTTTCCCCAAAACAGAATTGGCATACAAATGAATTTAACGCATTTCCAGAAGGTCTGTGCGTAGATCGAGGCCATCGATGGTGTTTTTAGGGAGCCAACATCTTTGAAAAATCTCGCTTCATTCTGGAGACAAGTGAACAGTTTTTGCACACAGATTTAATTTGATTGCAACTTCAGTGAAGTTAAAACATCAGCTGGCTATAAATTCCAATAGGATTCAACCAGAGATGCCTCTCGGAGACAGAATGAGCGTCCACTTTTGTGTGCACCCTTTTCGTATTCTTAAACGTTACTTGTGGGCTTGAAATGACAGTATGTGTGTGCGTGCGGGTGATGTTGAATGGTGTTGTTTCCAAAAAAAAAAAATCTTCCTTCTTTCAACCTACTTGACTAGTATTTGTGGAACTAGATGACATTGTATAAGCAGAATACAGTCAATCTTATTCTTCAAGAGAAGTTGTCACATGCTTATGAGTAAATACCCGCAGCTTGTTCTAAACTGTGTTCAAGGGTGTTTCCTTATGATACTTAAAGCTCTAGTTTTTTCGTGAAGTAAAGCATCACAGTCTATATATCAAATTTCCGTCCATTTTTCCTCACTCTGATGCCCCTGGCTCATTTATTATTGACTCCCGTTGTAGCACTTAAAAGAGCGTACCTTATTGTCCCCAATAACTCCCGTTGTGGATATTATGGCTTTTTCTCACTCCCAGGCCAATCTTACTTACACCTGCCCGATGACTCCCATTATGGCACTTAAAAGTATTTTGGCCTTAATTTGGTGCCCATTGACCATAATTGAAGCACCTTTAGTGCTACTGATACACCTTCCAAAAGCCCCCATTACAGCACTTAAAAAAAGATTTGAGCCTTCATTTTGTGCCCATAAACTCTAATTTAAGCTCTTTATTCATGTCCTTTTCTCTCCTGGTACATCTCTCCACTGGCCCCAATTTTGGCTTTTTCTGCACACTTACCGATTTTAATCTGAGAAAATATGCAAGCGCATGCATATTTGACTCTGCATATTTGTTGTACAGTATATCATTTTCATACAACAAGAAATAGATGTGATAGAGAACTGCACGACCTTAAATGGCATAAAATGAGTACACAATGTTAATGAATTACATTACGCATTAAACTGTATTTATATTTTGCTTGTCTTTGAAAATATGCATAATTAGCAGCCAACGGGCATGGGAAAAATTTGAGTTACAAGATTCTTACTGCGCAGTAAAACAAGAAAACTAAAATTCAGTACTTTTCAATTGTCAATAAAAAACGAAAAAAGAAAGATATCATTACCAAAATCACGAACATTACAGAGTAATCATTCAGAATGTTTTTTATGCACTTAAAAGCCAACTATATGAAGTCACAAAAATACTTTGATTCACTTTTTCATGTAGCTTGCTAATATGACCACTAGAGGGCGTATGCAACATAATAACGTCCCGCAGCAGAGAAGCTGGAACTCATGTTTTATCTTTCCAGCAAGGAGCTGCTTTTGCATCGTGTGATTCCTCGGTACAGGAGGGGTCATTTTCAAACCCCC